CGGACCTTATTTTTCGTCAGCTCAAGAGAAGGTACTTGGTGACTTTAAATAGGTAGTAAATGCTTTCAGTGTGATGGGAGGCGGGGAAGAACCCACGTAGCTTACACTCAGCGGAATTCGAGGTTCTCACAGTTTTGATATTTTACAGCGAACCAAAAATAGCGTTTCAAAAACCCTTTGTCAATGTACCGGAAATCTGGCTGCATATATAAGATGAGTTCAAAATCTTGTCTGAAGAAGCAAAATTAGTACTGCTGTCTTTCTCAACTGTATGTATTTGGGAAGTGTTCATCGCTTGTATAGATATGCTACGGTACAATATAGAAGCTGCTGAAATGCTCAACAAGATATTCGCCTGTATTTACCATCAAATGAATCTAGTAGAATATGAAGGCCGTTAAAAAAGTGCAATTACTAGTGTCTCATTCAACGTTTATACGTTATTTTATGTTATGTATTAATATAGGCCTACTTTTATATATACTACACTGTACTCAAGTTGCACTATAGTTGGTAAAATTAATTAGAATAGTCTATAATCAGCTGTAAAATTTCGAATGATAAGTAATGAAAAATCTGTATTTGAATTAAACTGGAGTAACTTGAGTCTATTGTATTTTTCATTTTTGCTTTTACCCAATAACGAAATATAAATATGAAACATAGTTCAATGAATTAAACATTCATTGAACTATGGAGGGACGTTTATGTATAGCGAGGGTTTTTGACACTATCATGTATCTTGGTGAAAGCTGAGGAAAAATTGAGGTACTGCGCAAAATTTCAAAATTTTTAAAATATAATTTCATTGCATAGTCACTGCGCAGTTGTATAGAGCTTTCTTTACGTTATGTTCCCTTTTTATACGTTAGTTTTTCCTTTCCTTATAACATTACACCTAAACAGCATTATCTTGTAAAACATCGGTAAGCCAATGGATTCTGCCATAGTAATTAATTCTAGAATGGATTCCGAAGTGAAAATCATTAGAAGCCACTACCATAGATAATACTATATTTATCATTGGAATAGTCGAAAACTTTTGTGACTTACTAACTATTCTATTCTGGGGCAAACCACAGGACAATAAATAAACAGTTATGTTCATCAACAGGAGGTTATCTATCTGCTAAAACAAACTTCTTACTACAAATTTGTCAGAAATAGATATTTTACATGAACTAGTATTTAATTCTGATTTATCAGTCTTAGGCTGTGTAAACATAAACTGGCAGCCCAAATCGGAAAGTGGCTAGTGATGCTAACTGCTGTACCGAAGGAACCGTGCTCGCATCTTGGAAAAGGCATAAATATTTATTAATGTATTGTGCCTGTGCCATATAGGAGCACTCAAAATATGCGACGAAAGTAGGAGCATGGTACTAAAGTAGGAGCATGGTCAAACACGAAAGTTTGTTTCAAACACACAAGTTTGGAAGAAAGCAGAATATAAGAACTAAGTTTTAAGAAATGTAGTCGGCATTCAGTTAACTGCTTCAGGGCTTGTACTGATAAAATATTGTTGCGTAATTTTTCTTCCTTTACGTTAGGTACGTTACGGGTTCGTGCGGATTTGGGGAGAATAATGACAACAGCACTGGATGAAGTATTGCAACGCACTTTATTGGCCAGTATTCTCAAGACAGCTCCAAAACACGTTTTTACAGTCGTCGAAGAGAACTACTATACACAGGCTGTAACAATCAGCGACACAGCCTTCAGGTAATCAGGCTATAACTGTGAAGGCAGCTTTACGGCAAAGCACCGGAATACAACTCCCGACTCGTTTTCGAACTTCACGTACTCTCAAGACTCTTCACGCTACAACTCGCGATGCACTCGATGATATGACTCAGTAAGACAAAACTCGACGATATGACTCAGTAAGACAAAACTCGACGATGCACTAACTCGCGATACACTAAAACACTCTCTCGATGAACTCGATGACACACTCGGCGCTAGACTTCGAGAAACTCGCTCAATCATTGACTACCAACTCGCTAGACGAGGCACTAACTGACTGTCCGCGTACCAGCAGGATTTATATAGCTTTTGGCTTGTGTTCGAGCATATTCTGGGCTAAACCAGTAAGAAATTATTCCAGATGGTTCTCCATCCATGTATGGCATATCGCCAATTTTATCGCCAAATGTGGCAACCATGCCTTCCCTTGTCATTTATGGCAACCCTAAACCTGCTCTGTGGGGAAGCTAACTTACCGCGACTGGACATTTCGTAACAATATAAATATATATTTTCAGTTATATCTGTTATGGAAAAACCTGAGATCCTCTAAGAAGTATCCGCCCTCCTCCCAAAAAAGGGGGATACGATGAATTCCAGTTGTTCTGATTGATGTTTTTGCGTTAAAAAGAAATAATAAATGTTTTTAATTTGCTTGCTCATAGTTATTAGTAGAAATTCTTTCAAAAGAGGGCGTATTAAGACGCTATCAAATACGTGTCACTTTCAAGGTTATTTCGAGACAATGAACATGTAGAGAAACTTAGCTAATTTCGTATACAGCAGCATATCTACATTCTGTCAGAAGAAAAACAAGTCGTAGTATTGAAAATAATACACTTTTCGCGTCTACGCAATTACATATTTTTTATACGCAAATGTATAATTATTTGTTAGGTAAGAGTTTTATTAGTTTAACGTTATTTATGCTGTTCGAATTATTCAGAACTATTCAACTGTCATGTATTCGATTATTCAAATTTACTTAGGCGAAAAGAATAGTTTGAAAATATGAATTAAAATTGAGCATTAGGAAAATAAAGATATTTCTGTTCAAAATTTATAAGGTAAACAAACTATCACATAAATTAATATATAACTGAAACATTGGTGAAATAAATTAAGAGAATTTTCATATTTGATCTACGATCTCCAAAACTAGTGGACAGATTTTTAATAAAATTTGGTATGAACATAGGTTGATATAATGCAAACAAAATAAATAAGAAAAGCTTGTCATTGTACTTAGGTTAATGATAGCAAATTCACTGTTTCTTCAACTTCAACAAATCAATTTCTAATTTTCAATAGTCAAGTGATTCTTTCATGAGAAATTCCTCTGAGCGGGTCTGATGAACTTTATCATAAAACCCAAACGTCGAAAAAAGTATTCAGTTTCACTTTCACTTTGCAGTAAGACAATGGAATATTCTGTTTCGCTTTTCACTGAGGGCTATCGAAAATTCACTTTCACTTTGTTTAATAGCAATCGGTACGTAAGAACATATATCATTTTGAAGTTCCGAGAAGTAGCTCTCTATACTTCCTTGCAGGTAGCGAGAGGTCAGGTGTAATAATAAGCAGTGCGATATCCACCAAAAATATTAATTTTTCTTTATAAGAAAACAAAATGCTGTCTTCAAATGATGCAAATCGTTACAAAAGAAGAGTATTAGCTGGGTAAATGTGCCCTTTTTTATAGTCCAAAGGGGTAATTTGCCCAGAAGGGCTATTAATTTCGTTTTGGCATTTTGCGTTGATTCACTTTCTGCATTGTTTCACTTTTCAAATTGTTGCCACCAAATATTATCGCCCAGTATTAAATTTAAAGAAATTAAATAATGAAGAATCTGCATAAATGTATGTATGTTTCTCGCATTGTGATAAAACAACGGTACCTAGAACCATCAAATTGTGAATAACGTAATCATTCACCGAATACGGGCATCTGGTACCCCTAATATGGAATTTGTTTTAACATCGATTTCATATTTTGTAAAACTTTAACGAATTTTTTATTAACAAATTCAAGGATTTCAAAGTGAGTAGTGGCAACGTTGTACAGAAAAATCATTTTTATCTCCAGCACGCTTGAAATTCTAAAGATATGTTCATTTTAAAATTATTTCGCGATATTGCTGTTGAACTGAATTTTATGGTTTAGGTACGAAGAACATGATATTTAATAAATAAAGGTAACACACAAAACGTTAAAAGAAAACGCCCCTTTGAATGCAATTTAAAATCTGAAAAGTTTCAGATTTTTTTTTTTTTTTTTTTTTTTTTTTTTTTGCCTATTTTTTCAGAAATGTTTTCCTTGCCTATTTTTTCTTTTCCTTGTAATAGATTTAATTAAATTTTCGTCCGATTGCCACAATGTGCAGACTTCATTGCGTTGTAGAAAAAAATATTTAATGAGCCGACTTTTTAAAAATTTCTCAAAAATATGCAGACTTCAGAACAAAGTCACCGTTTTTCTGTGGCTGCAGACATCTTCAATAAATTTCCGCAGTGCTCCATAGAGAATCAAAGCACAATTTGAAATACGCTGTTCTATGTTATCTGTTTTTTTTTTTTTTTTTTTTTTTTAAATTTCTTATAGCTATATTTCTACAGTTTGTTTTATTTCATTATACGAGTATCTCTTAACTTGTCAGCATTTTATAGATAAGAAATGCACATTTCATTTTCTTTGTGATTCAGTTAAAATTCTTTGTGTTTGCATAATTAGTTTTTTTATATCATCATGTGTCTTATTATGAGAAAACATTGTTTCACAGAGTTATTAAATTCCCATGTATTCTTTAATTTAGAGGGAATTAGGGAAAAAAGAAATTCTTGTATTATGTAATTTTTTTACTGTTTAAGTATCTGGTCTGAGAATCAAATTTTGGCACTCCACAAGCAGTCTGCTATCCTCCACTTATGGTTCTGTTTAACCTTACACTTTTTCAATCACAAATTTATTTCTTAATTTCTTACATTTATGATTTAAGAGGTCCGGAAATGATCATTACAGCTTTACGTCCAGTCAGAGCGAACTATAATAAAAAACTCTCACAACACAAAATGTTTCAGTCTTAAGGACAAATAAGAACATAAGAAACCGAGACCGAAAATGGCGGATGTAGTCCTGAGCAATGGTCCTGCACAGAATATCCACGGGAAATAATTAATAACTAGGCCACCATGTTTTTAGATTTCACTTTTTTATCTTCCACCTTCCTTCGCTCTCGCTTATTAGACATTCTTTTTCTGCTAACTGGTTGCAGGATTCCCTCTCGCTTCAAGAGTGGTTGTCCTTCCTCTCTCTTCCGACTCTTTCCCCAACGAAAGGAAAAGTGCTATTAGTCTCCCCAGCCTACTGCAATTAAGATGCTTCTCCAGAGAGCAGGGCCTATATTCTAGAAGTATAGTACTATAAACGAAGAAAAAGAGAATTTTCACCTGTTCGATCGAATACGGAAGAACTCTTTTCATATCGGAAGCTCTTTCTTTTAGACAAGATGTGCATGCTTTTTCTGTACATTAATCCGAACCCTGGTCCACATGGGTTCTATTTGATCCTTGCTAATACCAGAGATGAGTTTTTTTACCGTCCGACCAGAAAGTGCCATTATTGGGAACAAAATCCTAATATTATTGGAGGTAAGTGAAACCCCCCAAAATTTTATTTATTTCTGCGGCGTAAAATAACATCTAAAACAAACAGCAACTTGTAAAATTAGGTAAAACTCACCCAAACTGAGCACGTTTCAAAAGCTATAGATTAGGATACAAAAAATTATTTTATAAGGAAATTGCTGAATGCGTCCCCTCTTTTTTTCCCCTTTTGCAAAGAGGGAAGCTATATTAGACTCCTTTCGAGTTACTAAAATGTGTTAAAAATTATGGGTTTTCATGTCTTTGTTAATTAGGTTCTAAATTTTTTACTTTTTTGTAAATATATGCGTGTGTGTATGCTTAGGAATATTTAGTGGCGAGAAGAATAATATTTTTTGAAGTTTTTATTGTGAATTTTTATTTATTTGCTAAATTTGCTTTTAGACACTTATTTATTAATGAATAAAATTTTCAGTAAAATATTTAGTCCTTATTTATTCATTAATAAATTTATTATAAATATAAAAAAGAATGCATTATACTTCTACTAGCGACCCGCTCCGGCTTCGCACGGGTATAAAATATTAATAGATATTTTAACAATGAATCGCAGTTCATAATCTTTTTCTGAACTTACATACCTCACCTTAAATTACGATTTTTGAAAATAATTTGCCTAATATTAAATTGATTTAACTCTAAATTTTAGCCAAGATCTTAATAGAAAATTCCAATCCATAAATTATGGTTTTATTTAATCTAATCTTATCTAACTTTATGTACTTATAATTACTATGAGTGCGATTTAAAAATTAACCTTAGAATAGAATATCATTTATATTTTAAAACGACTATCCATACAATTATTTATCGTAACTTACTTATAATTACTGTCGTTATACGAAGTAAATAACTGATACGTTGTCGCGCTGAAAGCACGTATTTATTAAGATATTGTTGTTTTCCTCCAATGCTCCGAATAAACGCGTCCGATCGCTGCTAAATTCAAAGTGCTATAGGGAGAAGCGCGGCATCCGACGCGCTATTTATAGGCACGCTCCCGCCGCCCCGGCCGGCCGGTACCGCCGCAAACGCTACGTCCCGCAATTTTTAAATCTGTAGACCTTTTCAATGCGTACAATACTTAGTAAATTATTTTGATAAATCTCGTAGGGTTCAGCCTGCGTTTGCAATGTAAGAGGAAAAAATGTAATTATTTACGACATCACATTAGAAACCTCAAAAATAACAGTATTTCTCCACTATTTAATGGATGTTATTATACATATAAACCTTCCTCCTCAATCACACTATCTATTAAAAAAACCGCATCAAAATCCGTTGCGTGGTTTTAAAGATTTAAGCATACATAGGGATATAGGGACAGAGAAAGCGACTTTGTTTTATACTATGTAGTGATATGTTATTATGTATTCCCGATCAACATTTAAAACATATAAATGCGATAATAATGATAAAATATCAGTAATTATACAGTGAACAGTAAATTTCAGTCTTACATGAGCGAAAGTTTCAATAACAGAATTTTTTATCTAAAAAAAAATATGTTTATTTTACAGTATAGAAAGTATGCGCTATTCTTTTTCAAGAAAAATTAAAATTATCATTTATTATTTATATTAAATGTATTAAAACTGAATTTTCAGAAACAAAAAGTAATTTTGTTTAAAAGTTTGTAGTCATTAGGTTTTTTTCATCAGAGCAGAAAACATGAAAGATGCCCTCGTTGGGATTCGAACTTCACACCTTATTTGCCTGCCGGATGTGCTTCTAATTACACCACGAAGGCAAGCTCTTAGGAGAAAGAAAATGCAAGTTTACGCATTTCATTTTTATTTCACTTAGGAAATATTGCTTTTGCAATTCATGCATTATAAAAGTAATGTTTTTATAAAGTACTTAGTTGTTCTTTGTCATTAAAAGAAAGTGAAGAATTTTCTAATAAGTATTTAGTTTAAAATGAATTATCGGCTTTACCTTGGTTAATGTAAATTACTCTACTTAACTATTACTATTCATATTTGTGGCCAAACGAAACAAAGAAAGAAAAGAAAGGAAATACGTGTTATTTATTAACGTATAGAAATTTTGATCAAAACTGAAAAGTCTAAAATTTTCTTTCTTAAAATTAACGAAAAAAATTTAAAAAATTATTAAATGCATTGCTGTGAGATAAGTGATGACACAAATAGTAAAAAAAAATTACTGCGCATTTTTACTCATGGAATGGTTTTTATAAATGTGTCATGTTTCATTTGTGTACTTCCTTTTGTTGCTCTAGCATTGAAATAAGAGCTTAATGAACGATTAAAAAAGTTGTATTAAAAGTATTTCTTTTTTAGTTTACATTATTTTTTTTATGGTAAAATCTTGCCACACCAGATAATAAAATTTGTTTCATTTTATTCTATAAGAAAATTTGATTTTCACAGGCTGCTTTTAATTAGGGCGGGTTAGGTTACTTAATTATAACAAAGCACTCGAGGGTTATCTGCCTCAAGGAAAGCCTTCGTGGATTGGTTTCTAAGAGAAACTAACTCGTTTCAACGCTACACATGGGGAAAATTATGAAAAGGCCCATGCAGCCTGCTCGTTCGCCTAGAGAAGAATTCAAGTAGAGCTCCCAGTGTTCAGCGAACTTACTGCTCGGCCGCTAGCGAATTCCTTTTAATTAGGAACCTAAAGCTGGGGTTATTGAAAGAAGTTTTTCTCCTTTTATTATTGATCAAGGTTCAAAACTCTTTTTTTCCGTTTTAAAAGTAAATTTATTCTTTTATTAGAAATAGTTCATAAAATCTTGCTCCCTCTTTCATTTTCTATTTAAGCACAGAGATGAAAACTATATTTCAACTTCCAACGTAATTTCTGTATTATTAATAAATGTTTCAGTACAGGTCGTAAGGAGCCTACACTAGAAATTAATTCTCAGGGAACATATATCATTCTTGTCAACAAATATATACATATATAAACTAAAATACTTAAGAACCATTGATATTGATATAAATAACTCCTGTTTTTATTATCTGCATTTAACTTTAATATTATAAATATTTAACTCCGTTAAAATCAATTCTCAGCAATTTACACTCATGTCCATAAATTAAGGATAATTCGGAGTCACGCGGAAATCGAAATCTAAAATAAATATATCATCTGTAAAATCACTACACACATCTTCAAGAATCATATGCAAATTTCAGGAAGTAACCAGATGACACCGATGGTACGTCACAATGACGAGAGTGTAAGAGAGTGATATATAAGAAATACAGACAAAGAAGTAAAATTGTTCGCAGGCGATTTATAAGCATTTCAGTGCAATAACCGAATAGTTATGACACAAAGGACGCATTTGGATGATTTTTTACGGGGTAGAATTATCGGTCGTCTGGAATGTGGACGTACCCAACTGGAAGTATCAGACGACCTTGGAATTGCCCAGAGTGTCATCTCCAGGCTTTGGCAATGATTCCAAGATGATGGTAATGTGAGTAGACGTTACAGCACATGTCACCCCAGAGTTACAAAGCCGAATGAGGACGGGTATTTGGCAGTTCAAAAGAAACAGGCGGAGCACAGCCTCAGACCTGTCTCGTCATCTCTCTTCAGCCACTGGTACGACAATTTCAAGGCAGACCGTGTACAGACGCTTAGGGCAAATTGGTCTATATGCTCGTACACCTGTCAGATGCTTTCCACTTACTGCAACTCATTGTCGCCTGCGGTTAGCCTGGAGTAGAGAGCATGCATTGTGGACACCGCAGTGTGCTTGGACACCGCAGTGGGCTTGTGTGATGTTTTCCGACGAGTCCAGGTTTAGCTTGCAGTCTGATTCTCGCCAGACTTTCATATGGAGAGCTCCAGGTACCCGTTACTACCAAGAAAACATCATTGAACGACACCGTTACGGTGGTGCAGGAGTGCTCGTTTGGGGTGGAATTATTCTGGGTTCCAGAACTGACCTGCATGTTCAAATTGGAACCATGAAAAGCCAAATCTATCGGGACGTCATTCTGGAACAACGTGTACGTTTGTTTCGAGGCGCCATGGGCGCACAATTTGTGTTTATGGATAACAACGCCCGTCCTCACCGTGCAGACATCGTAAGCGAATGTCTTCAATCGGAGGATATCACGCGTATGGACTGGCCAGCATTCTCACCGGACTTGAATCCAGTAGAGTACGTGTGGGACATGCTTGGCCGACGAGTTGCAGCCCGTCAACCTCCTCCTACATGTCTACCGGAGCTTCGGAGAGCATTGCTTTTTGAGTGGTGTAATATCCCCAAGATCAGATCGATAATTTGATACTCAGCATGCCTAGGCGTTGTACGGACTGTATTGCATCGTCTGGGAGACATACAATGTATTAACAATCATACCAACCATGTAATATTGGTTTTTTGTAAATAGGTGTTTTTTGTAATTTGCTCCAGGGAGAAAAAATCGCTATTTTTTAATAATATCAAACATATAGCATCTTTTTTTGCTCTTTAACCTTTTGTTTAATAAATAAGCTTTACAAATAAGTCAAATTTGTTTTGCTTCTAACTCTTCCTTTGCCTGATTTTGCATTATCCTTAATTTATGGACATGAGTGTATTTGCATCTCCTTTCTCTTTTCAGCTGTGTGCAAAATTGAACTGCTTATTTTTTTCGAATATTGTTGTTTTTTCTTCTTGTTAATAAAAATCTATGGTTTCAGTTGCTACCGATTTAGTTCAAGATGTATCGTGAATACAGCCATAGGAGTCCTCGATGAAGGCGTCACCTCTCTCTTGCGTGCTTTATCCTAATTAAATGAAATAATTTACACGTGAGAGAGGAAAAGGGAAAGTGTGCAATGCGCAACATAGTAACTTTATTTTGATTTTATTTAATACTAATAAAGTCTTACTGTGCGTAATTTGTCAGTTGAACTTTATTCATGTAATGTTGCAATACCATCTCATTATACACAAATTTTGACGAACTCGCTGTTTCACCCATTGTGGTTTTCGGATGCTAAAAAATGATAGTTTG